ATTAGTATAATCACTGTACTTGTGAAAATTGAGGAATATAGTCACCATCATTTAAGCAGTCACAGTGAGTTATTTAGTTTAGGAATTTTTGACAGTAATGTGAAGTTATGGGTTATCTTTGTTATGTCTTAATTGTGAATTTTGAAAGGAACTGTAATGATTGATACAATTTTATCTTAAGCATTGTTTTAGTCAGGTTTTTAGTGTGCTTGCGAAATGCACAAAAATTGCTTAATTTGAAATATGATGATGCTGTATTATATAAATGAGACATCCAATCCCTTCACCACCCCACCCCCATTGCTTGGAGATTTTTTTTGTAAGTTACTGTGGATAAAAATTTATTTTTACATCAGGGGTCCCCAGTGTGGTACCCATGAGTGCCATGGCATCAGCCAACACCTTGCCCAGCATCCCAGAAAGTGTGTGGAGTCACTTTGAATTGGCCATTGCAGAACTGATTGGCTGTGCAAATTAAAATGATGTTGTTTCAGCAGCTGCTGCCACCACAACAATAATTTTATTCTCTGTCTCATCCTTCTTTCCCAGTATATTTTTAAATTACCCCTGTTTTCCTCAGCACTTGGACTGTCTCTGTGTGTGTGGTTGGCTCTACCTCCTGTGGCAGTCATTTGTCTCGCTGTCCCATTACAGTGCATCTCAAGAAGAGTTACATCCTGTTATGCCTATTGACTTCAGTGAATTTAGATGATTGCATTGTTAGTTGCTGAACAGCACACAAGACAGCTTCATGGAAAATAATCTACAGCTTCCTATGATATCATTTTATTTCTTTTTATTTATTTATCTTACATTTTAATATTGCATCAGTGTGAAGGTACTATAAAATGCTTTTGCTTTGAGCATTTGTGGAAAACCAGTATATAAACTGTTTTTAAAAATGAATCTCTGAATCAACTCACTCTAAAGAAGCCAGGGAGTTATGTCAGTTCCAGTGTTCGGCACAACATATCTTGTTCAGTTAATACATACAAAAGAATTTGTGAGCCCCAAACCCCGCCGAGCCTGCGCTGGTGGTGGTGGGCTGCTTTGCCTCCATGAGAGGCATGAAGAGTAAGGAACCAACAGGGGGCAGAGCCAGCCTGTCTAGGCTTGGCTCCTGCCCCCTGCCTTACAGTCAGTTGGTAGAGCTCGGCGCACCCTTCCACCCTATTTTAGTGCAGGTCTGACTGGTTGCCTATTTATTTATTTATTTATTTTCCACATTTATACCCCGCCCTCCCCGATAGGCTCAGGGCGGCTTACAGAGGCAAGGCAAAACCTTGCCATAATAAAAACATGATATACATAATGATTTAAAAACACATAATACAACTTTAAAACATCCTAAATTAAAACATGGTGCTCAATAACTTGCGTAATTCCAGAGATGGCAGATCGTAGGTCCGAAGTTCCGAGTGGTACTTCCCACGGCTCAATATTAAGATGTTCCTCAGGGCTTCGTCCAAAACAAGGCGATGGTGGTATAGTAGGGGCGGTGGCTCCTACTCAAAGGCCTGGCAGAAGAGCTCCGTCTTGCAGGCCCTGCGGAGGTTCTCTTGAACATGCCACACTGCTGATCGAAAGCTACCTTCGGTGGCTTGAGATCAGAGCAGGTGCATCGCCCAGAAGGAAATGAAGGTGGTCAGGAGTTTGACACCTGTCATATTCCTCAGTACATTTCTGATAACCCCTTGCTAGTATTTGTTGTTATTAAATAATTAATAAAGTGGCCCTTGTTAAATCCATATTGGTGTCTGTCTCTTTATTCCAACTGGGGGGGGGGCAAAGCGAAACATAAACCAACACAACAGATTTTTGAACTGACATCAATAGACAATATTGTTTTTAGATTTTCTGCTGTTTCCCACTAAAATATGTTTATTTCCTCCTACAGCCCCCTACCTGGGCCCTGATAGCATTATGCTTTGTTTATTTCTCAGGATTTTTTCCCCCTGGTTTGCAGGAAGCCAAAATATATCCAGGAAATACAGACAAAGTATTTTTGGGTATATTTTCAGCTCAGGTAGATCCAAATGCAAGGGTCCTAGTGGCTCACAGGTTAAGACACTGAGCTGCAGAGCGGAAGGTCTGTACTTTGGCAGTTTGAGACCCTAGTGCCACGTGAGGGAGTGAGCTCCCATATCTGGCCCCAGCTCCTGCTAACTTAGCAGTTCGAAAACAAGAAATTGCAAGTAGATAAATAGGTACTGCTTCAGTGGGAAGGTAACAGTGTTCCGTGCATCTCAGCATTTAGTCATGCTAGCCACATGACCACAGAAACATCTTTGGACAGCACTGGCTCTTCGGCTTGGAAATGGAGATAAGCACGGCCCCCTAGAATTGGATTTGCCTAGCTTTCGAGCAAGAGAAATCTTTACCTTAGATCCAGACATTTTTAAGGGGAGAGGGGGTAGAGATCTGGGGTTTGCTGTTTTATTTTGTGGTTCAGCTGGGGAAGGTTTAAGCTAATATTGTAAGCCACCTTGAACCACAAGGAAAGGCAAAATATTAATTAATTAAATTAAAATGTTGCATTATACATCTCCACATCAGTCTTTCTTAAAGGGGAAGAGTAATAGTGTTCATTATTCTTGTCATTTATATTACATATTTCAAGGGATCACATGATCTTAGGCATTCTATAGCAACACTCTAGAGTATGTCAGTACAGGGAGCGGTGGCGCAGACGGTAAAATGCCTGCTGTAACAACTATGAACAGCCATTGTGGCTGTTCGAGAACCACCGCGGTCAGAGTGAGCTCCCGACCCTAGTCCCAGCTCCCGCCCACCCAGCGGCTCGAAAGCAATTAACAACTCAGCGAGTAGACAAATGGGTACCTACCCTTAGATGGGTAGGGGGCACCCTCCTCCGACGAGGTGTGTGGTGGTGGCATAGATGGCACACGAAACATCGGCGGCAACGAAGCATGGGCGGTGGAGGCGGATGGCGATGCACAATGCAGTGATCCCTGGTGACCAGCAGAACATCGCACAGCAGACAATGGCGATGGCGGAGACCGGGGGCGCACGATGACATGTAACGCAGGCGCGGCGGAGCCTAACGGACAGAGCCGAAGCCAGAAAGCGGACATGGGCCGTGCGCCTAAGCGGATATGGGCCGTGCGCCTGCGCGGCCCCTCCAACAGTCGTCCAGAAGCACCAGAGACTTCCTGAAAAGAAGCTGAGCCAGAGCAACGATACGACCCACCACCCAGGTGCCGGTAGGCAGCCCCGCCCCAATTCCATGTGGCCCAAGTTAGGATCAAGTGTTCTTAGAACACACTATATGTAAACCGCCCAGAGACCCTTCAGGGTTAGGGCGGTATAGCAAGTCGAAAGTTAATTTTTTTAAAAAAAAGTATCATTATCTCCAAATATCTGTACAGATGATGAATGGAGACTGAAAAAGTACCTTTTTTCTGAAGGTTGGTATATGCAGAAGTTAGAACATAGTCCAGAAGTAGACCAGTTTTCAGGTTACTTCCTCATGTCTGGTATTTGCTGAGCATCTTCTAAAAATGTTGCACTCGGTTTGATCCTGCCTAGCAATTTTTATGTTCTTAAGTAATAGTGCTTATTTAGGAGCAATTAACATGATTAGACATTAACTGTGGAAAGGTCCTTGCATTGTGTCTATCACTGCTGTGAAATTTGAACCATCGGCATTCTAGATTTCAGTTTACAGGCTTAAACTAAACCTTACATGCAGCCTTATATGAAACCACATGAAGTTTTGTTTCTGATACTTTTTGATTTTAAAAAAAGGCTGCACTGGGAAGCTGCACTAACTCTTTCACCTTCTCTCTCAGTCACTCCCTGACAATGAGAAAATGATTGAGGAAAGGCTTATTTTAGGCAGAAAAGCTACAGAATGGGAAAGGTTTTTGTAGCCCTTGCACATTACAGTCCCTCTGCTTAAAGTGTGATTTTGTCATATAATATATTTAATTCCAAACAAAGCATCAGAATGTGGATCAATAAATCTGCAAAACAGAGTTAGAGAAAGGTAAGGGAAATGTCTCTAAAAACCTGAAGGAAATCCCAAGTCTTTTTTTTTTTTAAAAAAAGCTGGAATCTTAAAAAGAATTGGATTAAAATTTCTTAAAATTGTAGCTTTAAGAAAAGAACACTTGCGGAGCTTTCACTAGCAATTTTGGAGGTTGCTAGGCAACCGCAACAATATTGCTGAGCCTTCTAAGCCTTGGTTTCTGTAAAGCAAAGCCATAGGGGACAGCTGGGGTGGAGGCCAAAACAGCCCTGGAAAGCCTCAGCTCTTATGCCCCCCATGGAGGAAGACTCACCAGATTCAGAGCAGGAAGGAACCCTACCAAGCAAGGGTACAATAATATTTGTGCGAATTTCCTGGTAGTAACAGCAGTGAAGCAAAATATGCTTATTTGTCTCAACCTTCCCTGCACCACATGGGAAAAGCCTCTCTGCTTTTGGGATCTTTCTATAGTGGCTCTCCACTACTGCAGAGGGGAGTATATTCCATGTAGCCATAGAGTAAGCCTTACGCTGGGACGGTATCTCTAACAGCAAAAATAAGCTGCCAAAGTTACAACATATCAAGTGTTCTTTGACATCAGGAAATTTGAAACTCTGTTGATGTCTCCCTGCCGTTCAGTGTCCAGTATCCTTTGCTTGACCAGGGCCTTTGCTTGATCCAAGGCTGCCATTTTTAAGAGAAACTCTGGGGAGAGGCCTAACATATTCAGATATTACTTTTAAAGTTTTTTTTTAATCTAAGAACTGTAAGAAAAGATAATTAAACAAAGCAATTTTGGTCAGTCCTTAGTCCCTTGATTAGATTTAATGATATATAAATCCCACTAATAAGTTACTTTCTTTAAAGGGTCAATGTAAATTTCTCTTACAGTTTCTCATGCAGTTACATGTTGAAAAGGATTGGTTTTTTCCAGTCTATCTATAACAATGCTATGATGTCTTATTCTTCCAAGATCCTTTATTAATCATCCTACATATGCTTTCCATAGGCAACACAGAAGGAGATAGAGAAACGTCAGCTTCAACTGAAGAACATTACTGATTTAGGAGAGGGACTGAAGACTGTGCTTAAAGGGAAGGAGAGCTTAGTGAATGATAAACTCAGTCTTCTGAGCAGCAACTGGATAGCAGTTACTTCGCGAGCTGAGGAATGGTTTAACTTGTTGCTGGTAAGAAATCATTATTATTTTTTTGCTGTGCACTTCCCTGAGTGATGAAATACCCTGGAATATCATGACCAAATTTAAGAACATAAGAACATAAAAGAAGCCAATGTTTGATCAGGCCAATGGCCCATCCAGTCCAACACTGTCACATAGTGGCCAAAAATACCAGGTGCCATCAGGAGGTCCACCAGTGGGGCCAGGACACTAGAAGCCCTCCCACTGTTGCCCCTCACCCCAAGCACCAAGAATACAGTGCATCACTTTCCCCAGACTGAGAGTTACTGTCTATACCTTGTGGCTAATACCAATGATGGACCTCTACTCCATATGTTTATATAATTGCCTCTTGAAGCCGTCCATTCTTGTAGCTTCCACCACCTCCTGTGGCAGTGAATTCCATGTGTTAATCACTGTTTGGGTGAAGAAGTACTTCCTTTTATCTGGTCTAACCCGACTGGTCAGCAATTTCATTGAGTTCCTTTTGAATAAGACAGAGAGAATGCTAGTGTGCTGGAGACTCACACTGTTATAATTTGCTGTACTTCTTAATATACAGAACATATTAAAAAGTGAATAGACATATTATAGGAATCTATAGCAGGCACTGGGGAGACACTGGGGTGGAAGAAGGGATCACCAAGCAAAATGAAAAGGTCTTCACCTGCCAGCAGAAGACGCTACAGAAGGAGACAAGCAAAGCTCTCTGGAGAGAGAGTTCCAGAGTTTTGGTTCAACTACTGAGAAGGCCCTCTCCTAGGTTGCTACCCTGATTTCAGAAGGTGGGGGCACCTGAAGCGGGTCCTCTGAAGATGACTGCAGTGGCCGGGTAGGTTCATAACAGTGTAGGTAATCCCTTCAGGTATATGGTCCTAAATCATATAGGCAGGGCTATTTTTGGGCAGGAACGCACAGGAATGGAGTTCCAGCTGGCTTCAGAGTTGGCCACGTCCACTACAGCCAAAACCTCTGCAGAGGGAATGCCTGGAGAGCAACCCCCCTGGCAACTCCAAGCCAGGCGGGCCAGGGGGACCCTGGAAGGATCTGGGGAGGCATCTAATGCCTCCTTGTGCATTCCCGGGCCTGTCCAAGGGCTGGCTTGCCCAGGCAAGCCAAGGGAAGGTGATTCTTCAGTGGAAAATCCTTTCATTTGAATGTGGGCAGTCAATAACAAGCCTTGCTGTACAATGGCCCTGCTCACTATCTGAAAAGCTTGGTGGGTGCTAAGGGAAGTACTAGCATATTGATCTTGGACCAGCGTATCTAAGGGACCACCTTTCCCAGTGTACCCCCTGAAGAGCACTATGCTCTGGAGATAAGAACCTCCTGATGATCCCTGACCTGAAGAATATCCGACTGTCCTCAACCAGAGTCAGGGCTTTTTTTTGCCGGCCTGTTGGAACTCTCTGCCGAATGACATCCATGCTCTTCGGGACTTAAAATGGTTCCACAAAGCCTGTAAGACAGAGATGTTCTGCCAGATTGAGGAAAGCAATGGTTTACTATCAAGCCTGGCCTCCCCATCTCCTCCCAAGGGAGAACACATAATGTCTGACACCGCTCCTAAGCTTCTTAAAATTAAGCTAACCTTTAATAAAAACAAACGTAGAGGAAAGAAAGTGTGGCGCTTCTGCCTGTTCGAGGGAGGCGTCTTTGCCTCCAGTCGCCATCCCAGGGGTTGGTGTTCCCCTTTACAGGGGAACAGGAGGCCTCAGAATAGGGTTGGCTGCCTGGTTCCGTCACCTAAGGCAAGCCTGCACCCTCGAGAGCCTCTGGAGACGTCTGCTGTGCTGCCTCTACCTGCGACTCTCAGCTCGGCTGTCTCCTTGCTCGACTCCTGCTCTCTTTCTTCCCTGGCCTCCCTTCTGTTCCCCCCTCTTATCCTCCCCTCCACCCCAATCTTCGTTCCTATTGGCCACCTGGTTGTCCATCACCGGTGGCTCCGCCTCTCTATAATAGCGTCAACGCTCTGCCAGGCATGGGGGCATATCGACCCTGCCCGAGGCAGGAGGCATGGAGGCCGTCTATGCTGGGGTGTGGAGGTCCCATGGGCCTCGGCGGCGGTGTCTCTTGGTGCCTCGTGCCTGGGGATGCGCCCTGTGAAGAAGGGGCTCTGCTGTGGCAGGTCGCCTGCGGCCCCTGTCCTCCTCCTTCTTCCCGCCAGCCACCCTGTGGGCCGGGCCGGGGCTCCGCGACCGCTCACTGAGGTCGGCAGCCATGGTAAGTTGGGAAGTTGTCAGGTGGGGGTTGTGTGGGGGCCCAAGAGAGAGGCCTGGGTTGTCAGAGCCAGGACAGAAAGTGAATACATAGCTTAACTCTAAATATATAACTTCTTTTTTACTTTTTATCGAAATACTATGATGCAACCACTATGACTAACTATGCTTGTATTTGTTTGAACTAGTAATATTAGTAGCTAATCTCCATTTTTTAAAAAAAACCCCAGATATTAGGGAAACACCAGGAAATTGATGTATAGACCGTTATTTGATCCTTTATAACTCTGTATTTTAGTTTAGAAGATCTCTCACCCTTATTCCCTGTAGTGTGTAGAGAATAAAAGCAATAAAAATGTTTTTTAAAAACCCCAACATAATGTCTAACACCATCTGATCACTTTTTATTACTACTGGTTTATTGTTTTAAATTTTAATATCTCCCTCCCTCTGTATTAGAATTGTATTTATAAATTGTTGTTAACCACCCTGAGCCCCATTGGGAGGAGGGCAGTATATAAATCAAATTAATAACAACATCAACAGGCATCATGGTTCCTTCGGCACCATGCTGGAGAACACTTGTGTAAAGAGAAGGCAATCTGATTCTGAATTACTTTAATAAGAAAGAGTTCAAGGCTTCTGTCTACATCAATTTATATTTGGAGCAAGAGAAGCAGTTCTTAATATGCAGAATAGTCTCTTAAGGGATAGAGAATCTGGGTTGCATGTTACAAGCATGTTCTCTTAACCTGGTAGTGGGAGTGAAAACAGATTTTGGCTGCGTTCAGACTGGCAGTTTGAGGCGCTAGGGAGTCGTGTCAAAGAAGACCCGGAACAGACCCGGAATGGCTTGGTTGCAGTATTCCCGTTCACAATGCAGCAAATGAAGCAGGAGGATAACATGGAGGAAGTGCAAGGGAGTGTTCGTTGGCCCACCCCTGGTGGGCTGTTAGTGGCTATTTCTGCGCTCCGCTGCATGAGCCAATGTGCATGGCCGCCTGCCGTAGAAACAGCCAGAGCCTATTATCAAAGACTGCGGGTTGTCCCACCTTACAGCACTTGTGTTCACACATCAGGAAACTGGAATCAACCCGCTCTCCACACGGTTTGCTACCACTTCCACCAGGTACTTTTAAAACTCGGGAGGGAAGCGGTACAAGACGGCTTGAGTACGGCTGGGGGACGCCGGACAGCTGTGCCTGTGTGAACCTGCCCCTTTAATCCGCTAGTGAAATGCTCCTGAAACGTTTCGCTGTCGGGCCAAACTGCCAGTCTGAACGCAGCCTTTATATAGGTTCAAGTGGGTGTGTGGAATTAAACTTGAGAGGAGGCTCTTCATTTATGTCTGATGGCTAGACCAGCTGAGTAAATTCCACATTCCCCATGGTAAAATGCAGTGCCTGCGGGATGTGTTTCTGCTGGTGAAGAAGACATCTCTGTGTTCTATATATGGGAAAACATGGCAGATCAAGCAATTTCACTGATTCTCTTTCCTTAACACAGCCCTCCATGTCTTGTGGCATTTTGTGCCCAAGGTTTGCCCAGTTCCCAACATCATTCTGGGGGGAAGTTTCACACTGGAATGTCATAGTGAGGGAGAAATGGAAACCATCTGCAACTACTAATGTCTTGTGCTCTTTATTTAAAGGCTCCAAGACATTAGTTCAGTACATCCACACACTGGTTTTTAATAAGCTACAAACTAGTAAATAATTGTATCTAACAACAAGATTACTAATACTGTTTGTGCCATAATCTTCTCCCTTCAATTATTTCATAATCCACATTGTAAAGTGTGGAGATAAACAAATACCAGCAGAAGAATATAGCTGAGTGAACTGAGAACAAGTTCACAGTGGTGTTGGGGTGTGCAGGGGGAGGAATTATAGTTTTGTCAGTTAAATAATACAAGAAGTCAATCTGCATAAATTGCTGCTGTCACTGATAGCAATTCAATAATATCACCAACATCATTTACCATATGTTCCATCTACTGTATGACAGCTGTTCGATTCTTATAACGCCATCATTCCATTGTAACTGAAATAACTCTACATAACTTTTTGATAATGCTGTATCATGATTCAAAATGTGTGCTTTTCCTGTGTTATTTTTAAACACAGTAAGACTTACATACTGTGTATATATATTGGGTGTTTTCAATCTTTAAAGATGCTTTTGTTAGTATACTGTCCTGGTGTTATTTGAGCAATTGTTTTTAGCCATGATGTAGAGGCAGAGAAATTTTTTAGACCTCTGAAGTCCACAGTTATCTTCTATTAATTACAAATCACTGTAAATATGAAGGAGTGAATGTTAATGATGTATATACAAGTGGGGACCATAGACAAAAAATGTCAAGGGAGTGGAGGTAATTGGAGGGTTTGGATTCTAATTCCAACTCCTGAACTCCTAAAAGTTAATTCCCAACCCTTTGCAGGAGAAATTTGGCTTGAGTGATGGACACCTTAATACATGAATCCCCTGAGATAATTCCCTTTCGTTAGATCCCAGGGTGAACCAAGCAACTGTTTGATTGCCTTCAGCATTCTTCCAAGACCCAGAATTAGTTCAGTTAGTAGTACTCTTTCTGCCAAAATCGTCTCCCTACAGTTAGCCCAGGTTGTAAACATGGAAACAAAAAAATACCAGCAGGAGAACTTAGAAGAGTGAACCGAGGACATGTTCATAATGGTTAATGAATTAGCTAATTAGTTCTCAATTCTGCAGACTTGGGCAATATTTATAGAGTTTTTGTAGCCATGCTTTTCTTTGGTTCAGCTGTTCATTTATTAGGGAAATATATCCATTTATCCGTGTGCAGGCATATCAGAAACACATGGAGACTTTTGATCAGAATGTTGCTAACATTACTACCTGGATGTATCGGGCAGAAATACTCTTGGATGAATCTGAAACCCAGTTACCTCAGCAAAAGGAAGAAATTATTAAGGTAACAAATGCAATTTTCTGAAAACAATGTAATCGATAGGGCATATCCAGGATTTCCCCCCTACAAGTTTCAGATGGCATCTTAAGAATACAGTGATGTGTTTTCTCTTGACAATGGCATTTTTATACAGCACTTAAATTGCTTAATAACATTGCAAAATGCAGAATAATGGTAAACCCCTTCAACAGGGGGGGGGAAAGGGTTTTTTGAGGTTTTTTATGGCTAGAATACACTGTTAAATCTGTAACTTCACAAAACTTATCCAAGATACTAGCCTTTTTTTTTTAAGGCTTTATAGGCTTGCTTCTTTTATCAAATTCCTTTTCTTCTGAAAATTGTTGTATAGAATAATATATCATATAATTTCAAAGTTTTTAGCTTTCCAAGCACTGGTTTCACTTGGCAACATTGTACTGGTATTTGATGTAATCCCACCAGATATAGTTTATCATTTGAATGGGATGCGTTGAAGCATATTATACAAAGGAGTTAGACTTATATTATAGAAATATATGTCTAACTGCTATAGAAAAACAATATCTAACAATATCTTAATACATATTTTGCATTTCCCAATCAAACTGTGCTGCTGGTTGCTGACTGTTGTAATAAAGTGATTGATTGATTGATTAATACATATAATTTATAAGAAACATTGTTTACTATGATACCCTGAAATATTATATGAGTTGGACTTGCTGATATTCCTTTACCACTGCATTAAGTCTTATTCTTAGCCATTCTTTGGTAAATTTGGGACTTATTCACTTCCTAAAGATTCCTCTGGTATTCTGTTACTTCAAGAGGTTCATCAGCATTATATTACACCAAGCAACAGTAAATATGAAGCAATTAACTTATCAATAAACAGAAATTTGTGAACAAATAGAGTTGTCCAGGGAGTTTTATGTTTTGAAGAATACACTTTTTATAGAACATATAATTTAGAATCATTTTAAGAAGTAAAAAATAAACCCAGTTGGAATCGCCCCAGTAGCCATTTTTAAGGATTTGCTTATTTACAACATGCTTTAAAAATCAGTATCAGACTCCCTGAAGACAGAGACCTTCATAAGGAAGAGTAGGTTATGAAGTTAGACCAAGGACTTCCAAATCTTTCCTATGCTGCTTGTCATAAAGAGGAAAAAGTTTCCTTGCCTAGCCATAAACATAGCAAGGCTAGTTTTGAAGTAATTCCAAACTGTCTTTAGTTATTAGTTTATGAACCAACACAGCTGGTAATATTATCTTAAAACGCTTTCATAGCTCCTTACACATAAAAACGTATTATTCCCATGAAATTTGCAGGGAAGTCAATGAATTCAAGTAATAAATAATTTCATAAATGCAATTATATATCATTACATAATATATTTTAAAATATATATAGATAGCTACTTGAAATCTTTCAGACCGGAGGAACTGAAACTATCTCATATGAAGACACGTTCTTAATAAGTATCTCATTTACTAAAAGCAAAACCACAATTTCAAGCACTGACATCATTTTGAAAACCAAAAGTTCTGTACATCTATTCCACTCAGCTGAATTACAGACTAGTCTTTTCTAGCAAAGTGAAATCACTTGGAACAGCTCTGTCAGTGTATGATATAGAGGAGAATTGCCCTTTTGCTTAATGAAGTGCTGTATAAAGATAGTTACAGTGGACTATATTATCAGGGATAGTTTCCAGCAGATGGTTCCACAGGCAGCCAAGCTGATAAAGAAGCTGTTAGGCAAGTGGAGGAGCAGCTCAGTCTACTCATAAGAACATAAGAGATGCCAATGTTGGATCAGGCCAAAGGCCCATCCAGCCCAACACTCTGTATCACACAGTCGCCAGAAATACCAGTGCCATCAGGAGGTCCACCAGTGGGGCTAGGACATTAGAAGCCCTCCCACTGTTGACCCCCCCCAAGCAGCAAGATGGCAGAGCATCACTTGCCCCAGAGCCCCTATCTATACCTTGTGGCTAATAGCCACTGATGGACCTCTGCTCCATATGCTTATCTAATTCCCTTTTGAAGCCGTCCATGCTTGTATCTGCCACCACTTCCTGTGGCAGTGAATTCCATGTGTTAATCACTCTTTGGGTAAAGAAGTACTTCCTTTTATCTGTTCTAACCTGACCGCTCAGCAATTTCATTGAGTGTCCACGAGTTCTTGTATTGTGAGAAAGGGAGAAAAATATTGTGAGAAAGGGAGAAAAGAAAGGTGCTTGGATTGGGCTTGGACAGATGTGGCCTTATTGATTCTTTGTGTGACTTGATTCTTGCTCAGTTGGAAGCTGCAGTATCATGTTCTGGCTATATGCAGAAATATTCCTGCAGTTCCTATTGCTTGCAAGCAACCATGGTGGGTGGGTTCTGTTATCCCAGATGCCTTATAAATTAATTTGCCTTGATCATTGCGGGATGCCATTTTATATATCATTATTATTCATAACTCACACTTTTATAATGCTTTTGATGTTATATGCTATGCCTTTGATACTTCTTAAGGTTTTGTAATAATTTAAACACAATATAACATTGAAAAATTCAGGCATTCCCCCCCACCCACCCGTAGCATTGTAATGCTGTGGAATGCAATGCAAAAACAAACTATCTTAAACAGTCGAGATGATAAAACAACCACATTTTCAAAACATTTTTGACACAACTGGGAGAGACTATTCTCTTCTGCAGAATATCCTGTGGGGTTGTATTCTTTATATAGCTCTTTTCTTAAGTCACATTGCGTACTGCTGGGAGTACAAAGGTGGGATGCAAATTATGTAAATCAGTGAACACAGAAAACATTGACATCCATTATCTGAATGATCTTTACACAATCTGCACAGAGTAGACCACATTACAGATTAAAGGAGGCTGAAGCTGAGATCTTGTTAACTGAGTTTAAATTTTCAATAATTGAAATTGTCAAACATGGAATGTTCTTGTGTATGTATAAAATTGTACATTTGAACTAAACAGAGTATTAAACACACACATATCCTGTGTAAATATTTCATGCACATATCAATTTCTGGAAAGTATATTAATTTTATTTCCTTCATTTATGTACTACCCTTCTTCCCAGTGGGCACCCAAAGCAGTTTACATCATTCTCCTCTCCTCTGTTTTGTCCTCATAACAACCCTGTGAAGTAGATTAGGCTGAGACCATGTGATTGGTCCACAGTAAGCAAGCAAGCTTCTGAGGCAGATGGAGATTTGAACTTGGCTCTAGTACAGTATTCTAACTAGGGATGGGCATGAACTGGCTCATGAACCAAAATTCTGCATAAACTTGGGCCAGTTTGGAGCCTTAAAACCAAAGTTCAGGGAGGGTGCTCTCCCTGAACGTTTACTGGACTTTTGTCCAGTTTGGCTCAGCTATTTGGGCTATTTAAACCTAACAGCTGAGTTGCAGGGGTCTGGAGCTGACCTGTTAGGTTTAAGTGGCTAATACAAAGAAAAAAACTGCAAATTGTGCAAACAATGCTTGTAATATTACGGTAATATGCTAGAACACTCAGAATTACAAAAATGATTTTAGAAGATGTGATACAAAATTCTCCTTCTGTTACAGATGTGACGAAATTCTCCAGAGTAGACCTTCCGTTTCGTAAAGAACTTCATCTAAACATCGATACTCAGAAAAGATGTGTCTTGACTTGCCCGCGTTTGTGAAAGGATTGCAAAATTAGTGGATGGGATTGCGTCTCTCCTGGAGGAAATTGTAGGAAAAGCATGGAATAATTATGAAATAAGAAGACACATCTTTTCTGAGTATCGATGTTTTGATGAAGTTCTTTACGAAACGGAAGGTCTACTCTGGAGAGTTTCATCACAGCCTAATAGCTGACAGGTCCTGTTGTTAGGTTGAAATGGCTGCCAGCTGCTTCAAAGTGGGGGGAAGTGAAATGGACCGGTTAAATGGCCATGGCCGGGAGAAAGGGGGAACCAAACTCACTGGTTTGGTTCTGGGCCTTTTAGTTTGGTTTGGTTCAGGATTCAGTTCGGGGACCACCCCAAACTGAACAGGATTTTTTAGGTTCATGCCCATCCCTAATTCTAACCACTGTATGTACCTCCATTCATCTATTAATTCAATTGATTTCTTTCAAGGGCTCATTGCCTATTTTTATGAATAGCTAACAATTAACATTAGGCCATTGGCATTCATTTCAATGTAATATCAGCAACTGTAGCTGAGAAGTTAAACTGCTAATCTTACTTCTTTGTCATCACATAACTATTGTCTACATATTTATTATGTATAAAGTGGTTCAGAACTAAAACCTCTGTTCTCCGCAATGATTGTTTCTCCAGATAAGGATTGTATTGTTTTATTTCACTGTTTCTACCAGCCTGAAAATATGAAAAAGGTAGTCATGTACTATTCAGAGCTACATGGCTAGCTGCTTTGCACAGACATTTGTCTAAAGTTCACTTGATGGTTTTGCACCTTATTCCTTTGCATACTTTCTCTTTCTCTCTTTTTCTTGCTTCCTGCATTTATTACTAACTTGAAGCCCTGTCTCTTACTCATGGACTGTAGCGCTTAAAGACTGAGCTGAATGATATGCGTCCAAAGGTGGACTCTGTGCGTGACCAGGCAGTAGACTTGATGACAAACCGTGGAGATCACTGCAGGAAAGTAATAGAGCCTAAACTGACAGAGCTCAACCAACGATTTGCAGCCATTTCACAAAGAATTAAAAGTGAAAAGGTAGGAAGAATTGCTCCAGTGTGGAGCTACGTGTTCTTGCTAAATAGAAAGTTAATAAAGTGAGTGCAATTCTTGGAAGACACCTTCCTACAAAATGGAAACTGCAGAATGGGGAGAGAAATACCAGCATGGGAGTGGTATTTGTGCCCATCCGTGTGTGTATGTTCACACACAAGCATCATGTTTGTACTGTCACTGTTCTAGAAGCAAATCACCCATTATGGCTTAATATAACACATAAAAGATGAAGCTACATTTAAAAGAAAAAGGGAGGATGTATCTCTGTAGAGTTAGTAGTCATGCTGTTCCAACAATAATGGTGAACTTAAAGCAGCTAGCATATGACTCTGCAATTCAGCAGATAATTTTATTATTTTATTTATGTTTTATGCTTCCTTTCCACCCTATGAGGGTCTCCAAAGTGATGAACAAAAAAATTAAAACATTGGAACAATTAAAATACATTAAAATATAAAATAATTCAATAGAAACACATAACAAACAATATCAGAGGAGGACCAGTAACAATAACAGCATACCCATTTTTTGCAAGAGTATTGTTTGCAGGCTGCCCACTGCTAACCATTCTGTAAGGACACAAATATATGATAACCTGACATGGATGTGCAAATGTACTCGTAGTCAGATGGACATGGGGGATTAATTCACCTTAAACTTCATTTGTTCAGTTGACACTGTGAGAAACCACTGTGAGGGTGAAGAAGGAGCTTCTGGTTTCTCTCCTGCCTAGTTTTCACCAGTGGAAACACTTGGGGAGGGGCTTTTTGCCCTTTTGTCTGGTTCCACATGTCCTTGGAAGAACACGTTAAAGACTGCTTCACAAAAAAATTAGGTATTTTTGAAATAATTTTCACTCATTCAGTCTCTGATTTATATAATTATGTATTTAAGTACGTTGAAAAATCCAGAGTGGTTTAACCCAAAGCACAAATATAATGTGATTTTCAAGTTACTTCTAAGGTGATTTCAGACACTTCACAGTGCAAAGACAGTTCTGGCACTAAATTTCAGAATTTGGAGGCATATTCCAAGTATGCTATTTTTTTACACTTGCTACTTATTTGGATGATATATACAAATAACAAGGTGTTGTGTTTTGACCTTATAGAAGATGATACAAGAACAAACACAAGAGAGTACAATCTTGCTTTGAATATCTCAGTGAAAAAGCAGAGGAATTGGCAATGTTTTCAGGGCATAAAAAGATTTCCAGTTGTAGGAAAAGAGAAACACAAAAGATGAATTGATAGATGCAATCATACTTTGTGGGACAAAGATGGAAGCGTAACTTGACTTTCTGGTGGTTCCACTACAATATCCTTCAGTGTACTCCTACCGAGTGTTCAAAATTTTCTGCCAGTTTTGTGACTAATAATATTATTACGTATTTGGACATTGAATAGGAAATATCATATTTTGCAACAGCAAAGCATGGCCCCATTTGGAGATACTTAAAAATGCCTCAAGTTTGCAGAAGTCTAAAAAAAATGCATTAGGTAGTTTAAAAACAAGCAAACAAAAAAAGGAGTAAAAAAGCCTCCAAGTGCCTGGAAGATCTTTGACTCTTTCTTTCAATTTCCCTTTACTTCTCTAATGTTTGATAGTTTCGTCTTTTGAAATTAAATGCATCTAGGTTGGACTTTCTGAGCAGATTTTCACTGACATACATGTATTTCATAGCAATGTGATCTTTGTTCTTCAACAGTTCTTCACTATCATTCTCATTTAGGATTAAACTAAGGGTAATTTTTCTTCTGGAATACTCCATAACAAATTGTTCTGAGGTACATTTACCTGTCATGATATTTATTTTCATTATTTAACCATTTCCAAACACATAGGGGCTATTACCCCATCCCCCAAGGGCACTCCACTTGCAATAGTGTATGTGTGTATGTTTAGGTGCTAATTGTCATTATGAACCCCATTAGTCTTTGTTCAGATTGATGGCACATATTTCATGCACCATAGGATATGCAATCATATTCCCACTCAAACTACTGCCTTGATGCAATGTGTTAAAACATCTAATATAATGTGCTAGGGTTATAATAACATTCTGAACAAGCATAGAATATTAGACATGGTACAGAATGCAGATAAAATGCAGACAAATGTTTTTACATCAGTGGAAAATAAGGCAATGACAGCAGAATAATATATACAACAAATATACAGTCCCTTCTCTTTATAAAGTGCATTCCTGAACCATTCTGTCTTACTGCCTTTATAGAAATAGTCTCCTGAATAATTTTGTTTTACATAGTTTGCAGAATGGGAGAAGCATGGGAGCCTTTTCTGACCTCCTCAGGATGGCCATTCCACAAGGTGGGGGCCACAACAGAATGTGCACATGTACAGACAGTTGATGATCTTGCTCATTTGTAGGGTGCTACTACAGAAAACTCTGAACAGATTGATGAGCTGTCATGATAGTATACAACAGGCAAGGCAGAGGTACAGATATGTGGGTCCAAGGCCATGTAGGGCTTTATATGTGAGATAGGTGGTACCTTGAATTGAACCCTGTGACTGATGGACAGCCAATGCAGTGTATGCAGAATGGATGTAATATGCCTGTTCCATCTAGTTCCCTATAATAACTGAGTTGTGGCATTCTGTATCAACTAGATTGACTTCAAGACCCATGTACAGTGCTTTAGAGTAGGATGATGTGGATTCAGGTGGCCAGATCTGCAGAGTCAGGGTAGGGGCCCAAAATGGGCTAAAATTAAGGGTTTTTTGCAGCTGCATTAACTTGCTTTTCCAGCAGTAGTCCTGGATCCAGTATAAGCCCTAGACTCTTGAATGAGTCAGCAAGGGTTAGCAGAAAGCCAATGAAAGCACAATGTCCTTCAAGAACTCAGCCTTTGCAACCAGCATTACTTCTGTCTTGTCAAGATTTCAGTTTCAATTTGTTCATTCTAGGCAATTTCTGCAATTTCCTTATTCTTTGTTTAAAGTATTCTATAGAAGTTGCATGAATTTACCTTTGTAAAATTGTGCTTGGTGCAGGGAGTTATACTAGATGGTCTTTTGCTCCATTCTAACTTAACAGTTGTCTCTCAGTCAATGCTCCCTCTAAGCTGTGGAGTCTCGTGAGCAGAGATTCTGCTTTGTGAGCTACGGGCATTAAAGTGACAAGCAAGCAATTTGGCTGCAGCATAAATTAGTTTGCTCTGGAGCTGTCCTTCCTGAGCTAAGACAAAAATGTGTGAGCTGGAGGCTAAAAAGCTGTGAGCTAGCTCACACTAACTCAGCTTAGAGGGAACATTGGTCTCAGTCATGAGTTTTGTGGCTGTGAATCCAGTTTATATATCCTATTTTATCCAGTTTATATATCCTATCCTTTCTAATTTAAATTACAGGAAGGATTAGCTAATGCTACTGCAGTAGCTGAGAACTTTCATGTCTGACACCTAAAACTGTTCTGAAGCAAACATACCAGGCCCGTAGCCAGGAATTTCTAAGTCAGGGGGCATTTTAATTCCTTGGGGGGCACTGGCTAATTCAATTAAAAGTAATTTAATTACCGGCTTCTTGGCACCCTCCACCCAGCTGTCAGCTCTGCCTGCCTTGAACTTGGGCATCTGGTGTCTCCTCTCTGGTGCTCCCCTCCACCCACCCCAACTGCTGGCCTTCCTGCTCACCTTCCCCCAGTGCAGAAAAGATGCTCTGGAGGTTGCTGCTGGGATGAGGGGGAGGGCGAAGGTGGGGAGAGAAAGCACTGGCTTCCTCTGGTTTGAGAAGGATGGAATTGGCTGGCAGCCGTGGGGACTAGGCGGGGAGGGGGCTCAGTCAGACTGCCACTTCCTGGACCATGGTGGGCCAGGGCACGTTAAAACAGCACTGGCCTGGCTTCTCTCTCTCTCTCTCTCTCTCTGCAGTTCCCAGCCCCCAAGCCGCTCCCCAGCCTCTGAGCCAGGATGGAGTCATGCGGAGTCACAGAGGCAGGGGTGGGGAGCAGGGCCTGGCCCAGAGAAAGGGGGAAGGCAAGGAGAACTGACATCCCCAGCAGCACAGGGAGAGTTTGCGGCAGCCACCACATCTTGCCAGAGAGTCAGGGGGCTGGGCTGAAAGAAAGTAGTGGGGCCTTGCCCTTGGCAGGAAGCTGGGGGGGGGGGGCAGGCCCTGAAAGGCCTCACTGTAGGTATGGGCCTGAAACATACTGCCAGGCAGCGGGGGGGACGGGACGACAATGCTTAACTCATTTTACAAAATGTACCATACTATTCACATATGATTAAACATGCGGGGGAATAAAGTTTACTATGTCATGGTTTTTTCATGTTTGCTTTCCTTCAGCAGTCAGATCAGAACCTGGGAAAATAGATTGCCTGGGCTGTGGTACCCACATGGATTAATAGGGTTGGAAGGCTGCACTATGGAGAAGGAGATAGAAATCACCTTATTTGTGTGGGTCCTGTGACCCTGTAAATTTATTTTGTGGGCGTTGAAAGCAACTGCAGGGGGAGAGGGGAATTCTGCAAAAATGTTGCGTAATTAGGATCCAATCCAGTATGTCTAGGTTTTAAAATGTATTTATTTATATTAAGTTGCAAGTACATTCATATATTAATTTTTTCACGAGATGCAGAAAGAAAAAAAGTAGAATTTAGCTTATTGCAGTTTGTAAGTAGCCATTAGTCATTTTAAGGTTCTAAATTGAAAGCACTATTATAAGATAAGGATTGTAATTTACATAAATCAGTAACTAAGCCTTCTCTCAATACTTTCTAAATCCTTGTATTGCTTTTTTGGAAACACAGGTGATCTCTTTATTTTAAGGGAGATGTTTCTAAAGTACTTGCATATGTAAATATTAAAACTTTTATGGAATATTTGTGTTTATGGAATATCGATGTGTGTTGGTTGTATTCCTGAGTATTTTTCTATGCTAAGAGCACAATTGTTAGCAGGGCTTTTATTAAGGAAAATTTAGAACTGCATAGGGGTATATGATTGCAGTTCATATGTCTAATGCATGCACTACAACACACACAACACAGAGATACATGTTCCTTGTGTGTGAACACATTTGTTGTTTAGTTACATTGAGTGACATGGGCAGCTCAATCCTGAGGGCCACTGTGGTGGAGGCAACTGGCTGGAAGTATAGTACCAGCACCACTGTTCCATCTTTTAAGGGAAACAACACAAGCCAGTCTACCCCCTGCTCCTGTATCCGTTCACATTGTATGCCAAGGATGAGCCAGTGCACCATGCTGCCTACTACCAGGCACATCATTGGACCAACATGGTCATCAAGCAGGTGCACAGCTGACTGTACTCCAACTATCCGTCAACCCTGCCCCCCCCCCAGACACTTAGCTTTAGGCCATACTGGTGGTCCTGCATCAAGTGGAGGCCAGATGGCAACCATCTACCAGTGCCTGGAGAGGGAGGTATCTAGTGTTCAAGTGCTTCTGTATGACATGGATCAGCACATGTGCAGCCTATGGGTGGCTGTTGTGGCTTACCAGTGTGCCTCAAGGACTTTAGGAGCATCTGCACCAGCTTGCTGTGGCCATTGGCAGACTCTAGTCTAGGACATCTTTGGGTTACCACTGTTAGACATGGCAGGGCTCAGCAGCTGGCATCCCCTGTCTGAATGGGGGCACCTATGCAGCCTGGACTCTCATTTACCTGGAGCAGGACCCTTTCCATTGGTGGATTTCCCTCTGTTGCAGTTATTGGTGAAACGTTTGTGTTCACAGTATTATGTATTGTTTATTCATATTTGTACTCTGTGTTGATGTCATCGTGAGGTGGGCCTCACCTCTGCTGCCGCACCTGGCCTAGCTCAAGCCATGCAGTACCCCTGGGGAGTCTGACAGTGTGGCACAGAATTGGCATATCAGAGATTGGGGGGGGGGGGGGGCTGTTTTGGTGTTTCCAAATGGATGGTTCTTGAAATAAGCTGCTTGGTAGCATGTGGATGTATTGCTATGAAGGAAACGTGTCAGTAGTGCAGCACCCATGGGGGATGTGTACATGGCCACCAGCCCCTGGGCATCCACATGGACCCTGAATGGGCCATGACTAGGTAGTGGGGATTGGATGAGTGGTGCCCCATTCTCTGTGGGGGTTCTGGCTCAGTGGGTGTCAGCTAGCTGCCATTGTCATTCCGGTTCCTGTGTAGTATCCTTCACCCCCCTCCCTCTCATTCCTTGTTTGCTTGAGTTATGTTATGTAGTCCGCGGAACTCGCCAAGGTCGTGCAGCTGGTTGTAGGAGGAGAGCTTCGCCTAGAATGTTTTGGGAATCTCGCATGTGAACTGAACCTGTGTTGACATTATAGAACTGTTGCGTTCCCATGCAAGGGGAGCGAATTGTATGTGCTATTCCCGCCAGCGGGAACTGGGCTCATTGGTCCTTACCTAGTTCAAATGTCTATATTATACCTTCCCTGGTTACCTGTAGTTATTCCTAACAATGTCCTGTTCTGGTTAAACCAACGCTTTGAAATAAACCTTGCTTTGCTTTTCAACGTGGAGTTATTTTGAATGCTTGGGATCCAACAGTGGGTGGGCCTCAGGGTGATGTCTTTGGGGGGCAATGGTCAGTGGCAGCCCCACAGAGCCCCCCACTGTGCTGCCATCATCTCTATGGCCATATGCTTCAGCAGCTCGGGTACAACTATGGCCCCTGTGCAGATGGAGGACCGGCATAGGTGGGTGTTGAACTGACCCCATTCCATGCTGGGGTGTCCATGCCATGGGTGCTGGTCTGGGTCCTACTGGAAGGTGGCAGATTGTTGGCTTTGCTGTTCTGGGTTGATGCTACCCTACTTGTGCCACCATGCCCTTACAGTGACAAGGTGCATCTCCCTGAGGGAAAATCAGGCCTGCAGGGGTCTGATGGCCCTTTGCAGATGCTTCCCCCCAACTGTACCCTGTCAGTGTGTTGCACTCCAGTATGGTGTGCCCACCCCCTCATTGTGTGTTTGAGATGCCACTATGATGGGAGATGGTAAGTGCCACCATTGTATGGCCAAACATCATAGCCCTGTTTCATGAAATCAGGCATCTGGCCTGTCCAACATGGACTGTGGTTTATATTGGCTTCCAAACTTATCATGGTCCAAGCACATTAAATATCTTAAACAGAAAGTTGACCTAGCCTTTCTAGCCTTGAAGAAGTTTTTTCTACATCAAAGGAGCACAATATGTGCCAGCGCTCCTGAAAGCATATAAGACTCTAATACTACCACACATACTATACGGTTCCCAAATCTGGTTCTTAGGTCCAACAGAGCAAGCCTTCTTCCGTAAAATATTAACTTTACCACCATGCATTGCTTCTACAGTCAAAATGGCTTGAGTTAGGCCTCCCAAGTATTTCAACTCTGATCTGGAGGGCCATAGTTAATTACAAATATCAACTGTTAAATGCTGAAAGCCAACCTTGACCATACTGACAGAACATGAACATCACTGGTCAAAATGGAATGATGCTGTAGATGCGAAAATAAGCCAACTGGGCTTAAGGAAGACAGAGAATTTAACTAACTAAAAGAAGACAAACACTACTCACAGAAAAGTTACTCCAAAATTATTGGGATGCCTTCAAATAGATGCTAGATGAAAATGCTCCCCACTTACTCCACTAAATTTGACCTGCCTCTCTACTTAAACATGTTGACCATTTCAAAATTGAGGTGATCATATATGATTGCACATTGCAATGCATTTTCAACAGTCCAGATGAAGGGCCGTTTTCTCAAGACCCCTCTAGACCAGTGCTATTGTGACTGTCCTTTGAAAGAACTTGACTCACTGTGTCATGCTTTCTTCTATTGTCTAAAACATGCAACAGCAAGAGAAAGATTCTTAAGAAAATGGCTGTCGAAATATTCATCTTTTCCTGATGCATCAAGTTTAAGACTACTTCTGAGCAGCCTCTGCCAAAACTGCATTGTGGATGTGGCAAATGTCTGTTTTACTGTTCTTTTACATTCCTAATTTTTTTAAAAAAAATGGTATATGGCCTATGGGCTTCTAAACCTTAAATAAAAAAACACTCTTTTATATTGGCTGCCAGGAGCATATTTTGGCTGCAGTGGGAAGGCTGCAGTGGGTTCAGCTAGGGGGAAATGGGTGAGGGCTGCAGTGCCCATCAGCATCTTAACCCAAGTGAGGTGTTTTTAAATCTTGATAAAAATTGTTATATTGTAGCTATCTAGGTCTTAAATCTAATAGGCTGTTCGACCAGAGAAAGATAGCAATATAACAAAAAAAATTATTGTTGTTCAATATTAATTAAGAACAAATGACATTTAATTGCAGTAGCTAAATATTTGCATGCATCTAATGTTATACTAAAATCCAGGTCCACTAACAGACTCATTAAATGATAGAAGAGGGAAGAGACTTCTTATTCAGATGGGGATCCAGAAATTTTCTTCTCAGATCTGAATAAATTAAACAGAAGACTGAAGACTGTGCCATTCTTCTGCCACACGGTGGCTACTAACCAATCTATAAGCACCGGTCTTCCCTAAGGCCAGAAGAGATTCACAATCCAAATCAAGCCAGTTTAGCTTATCTATGAGTGGGCAAACCCATATAGGTTTAAAAGATTCTAATACTGATAGTGAAACTAGTGATTCCTTGCTCTCTAGATTATTTGCAAGCAAATATTTATTAACCATTAACCACAAGAAAGGTTGCTATATTGGATGCTGTTTCTGCTCTTGTGCTACTAAATTTTTATTTATTTATTTGCATCTGTAGGTGCTTCTATATTACCCAGAAATATATTCATTAAGCATGTTTACTATGCTGTCAAGCTGAGAAAATAATAAATATGGTTTTCTTAATTGATATATGGTATCATTTTTTTAAAAAAAGGCTTTTATATGGATTTAATGAAGTCTTTTCATTTTCATGATTTATGGTGTTTTTATACAGTTCTGATTAATATTATTTCTAAACAAAGGAACTGCTAGGTGAAAACCAAAAACCATAAACAACAATTTTTAAATTGATGTAGTGCTACATGTTGAGTTATCAAAGTATACTTTGATAACTATTCAAAATGTTGTGTATGTAATTAATTTAACGGTTGGGGGCAAATCAGTTTGGTTTATGTTTGTAATAAAAAATGTTAACAATCTTCCATTCCTTTTCCTTTCCCTCATTTTCCAACCATGTTTTTTTAAAGCCCTTCATTCCTTTGAAGGAACTGGAGCAGTTTGACTTCGATATAGAAAAATTGCTTGAACCACTGGAGGTTGAAATTCAACAGGGGGTTAACCTGAAAGAGGAAGACTTCAATAAAGATATGGTAAATTGGTTGTGATGGAAGTATGAATGAACTGGGAATGGAAATGGAATAAATGCTGGAACAGAAATTAGAAACCTCTGTGCTTTTATTTTACTCTTTAGACAATTGAAACACAATGTAATTCTACTGAGCTGTTACAAAATCGTAGTGCTGCATTTCATATTTATAGTATTGAATCATGATAGCTTCAGCTATATAGTCTGACTATCCTATTGTAAAATATTTTTTCCAATTACTCTTCTGATTAATTATGAGGAACAGATTGAAGAGTCCGTAAAAACTAAAGCATCTAAATTGCCATTGACAGAAGTAACTGATACATTGTGTTACACTGCAGGAAGAAATTGTGCTAGAAGAATTTACACCTGTCATTTAATTTGATACTCAAGTCCAGCTTTAATGTCAGAGTTGTGGGGATTCTTCTGGACATTAATGGGGATCCATTCTGGACATGGATATAATTTTCTGTTTCAAAAATCATCTGTTTCTGATTTTAGATATTTTATGCCATTCTAGAAGAAACCTTGAATGGGCTGGGAAGGGTGCAGTGTGTTTGCCATCAAGAAAATTCTTAAGTTACTGTGTATCTCTTGTAATAAAACAACAAGGCTACACCAAATAAACATAAACCCACCAGCATTATTTCAAACAGCAGGGTTACAGGAATGGATAACTGGACTCCCTGATGAAATCCTTGATAACTTCAAAAGGCTCCAAGCCTCTGATATTCATTCAGACATCACTGTCAACTTCAGTGAAAGTACTAACACTTAAATAGCTGCCATCTTCTGACCTGAAATACAACAATCAAAGTGTATGTCTCTGGATAATGTGAGATTTTCAGACATTTTTTCTGACGTTATTTGGAAATCCAGACTGCCATGTTTTACCTAATAGGTGGTAGATGGTCATCTCAAACCAAAACTCAGCCCAACTCAGTAGTGTATCTTCAAAATGTCCATATGTGGTAGGCAGGCAATCAACTAGGCTCTAATATTGGGAATGCCAGTTCTACTAGTGTATTCAGTTGGCACATCATATGTTGATGTGTCGACATTCCTTAGGGGGCTCATTCTTTCTGTTAGGTTAGTGGATGACATTTTCTTCAATGTATTTTTCGCACTTATGTGCTCTGCAAGTACCTACCTTGTTTCTTCTTTCAACAAAGTGCCACTTTAGAAACTCTGTTGAAAGAAGTATCATCATTTAGGTTGTTGTCCCGGTCCTCCGGCCCCGGGACAAACCTGCCCACCCCCAAAGGTGCACCTCCACTCCAACTCACCCCAAGGGCGGCAGATGAACTTGAGAGAGTCAGAGTCACTGCCCCCACAAAAGACATGGCGCGACAGTGTGGCTCCTGAGGGCCCAAGCAAGAATCACACTACCGGCAGGGCAAGGCCCGCCCAGCAAATCCCGTGGTGCCCCTCCCTTGAGAAAAGCAACTCCGGCCCCACTGGACAAAAACGGAGGCTGGCTGCGGCAAATGGCGACGCCGGCAACGCAGCCCCAGGCCAAGAGGACCACCACTGGCCCACCAATGACCACACCCCAGATGCCCGAGGAGCGTCCTGGCATATAAACGGGGGCGGGGGAGATGGGGGAGGAGGGAGGCAGGGAAGGTTGGCAGCGCTGGCAGGGGAGAGTGGGGAATAAAAAGAGGGGCTCTTTGAGAGGACTGGGGAGGAAGAACATGAGAAGGAGACGCTATACCCAATGGCTATAGAGAGAGAGCACGGGGCAAGTGATCTCCAGCCCACGTGGCAGAGGGACCTGAGGGATGCTACTAACCCCGTTCCCTGCCTGTCTGAGGTCCTCCTGCAGCTCCCTTTTGGGAACCCACTTCGACTGCCAGCGCAACCCAGCCAGACGCCACGGCCACCGGTGGAATCCCCCCAAGCACCCAGGAGAGGCCTGTCACAGTTGTATTCCTATCTTGATACCTTATCCATTTTTGAAATGTAATATGAACATTCTCCACTTCTATAATAGTCATTCAATCATTCTCCTGGTGTGCTAGGAAATCATTAGGGTGAATAACTTCAAGTTCAGCTTTTTCTGCTACTACTTTACTAAAACCACATCTTATTCTTTAGGCCCTTGCTTTGATAAGGTGCTGAAAGAAGAACACTAGCTTTTGGATTCTAGGAGATTCTCTCCTTGGAGAATACTCAATATATCTTTGGAAACAGACTTCTATCTTTTCTTATAGCATACTTGATGAGAAGAAGCAATGTTATGAACTTTAAACCTAGATGAGTGTGGATACTCATTTAATCTGCAACTATAAATTCCTTTCCAAATCCACAGTTTGAGGCTTTTTAGTTTTATCCCCTAGAGAAACTAAATTACACATCATTAAACTGAAAGTGTGCCCCCCCCATTTACCCTTGCCTCCCTTTCTGACATCCTTTTAATGTCTCCCCTGTGGTGACTGCAAAATCCTCAGGACAAAGACTTGTTTGCAAAGCATAATGCATATTAAAGGCACTAGATGTTGATGCAAAAAAGTGTAAGGTTTTACAGAAATGGCCCAAGACAGGAAATGAAATTAGATTTATTTTTTTTAAAGGAAAGGGTGCAGTTTGATAGAATTCATGCTAATTATTTTACTTTAATTAGAGTGAAGATAATGAGGGTCCTGTAAAAGAACTGCTTCGACGAGGAGATGCCCTTCACCAAACAATCACAGATGAAAGAAAAAGAGAAGAAATAAAAACTAAACAACAACTTCTGCAGACTAAACACAATGCTCTCAAGGTACATGATGTAATTTATAAATGCATTCATTCAAAATCTTTTTTTTTCTTTATTGCAAGGAAAAATGAAGCATTGTCTTTAAATGTGTAGGAAAAGTGACATTAAGATCCCTATTCAGTTATTCCTGGCTTCATTAACTCCCTTTGCCCCCCAGGCGGAATAACAAGACAGACAACAGTTTGGAAGTAAACAAGAGCCACTTTATTAACTATTTAACATAGCATTGCAGCAAGGGACCAGCTAAGCGAGCACGGAACAGGCAAGGCAGGTGTCACTCCCCTGACCAACCTCCTTGCCCTTTTCTCGGGCGGGTCACCCAGCTCCGGTCTTGAGCCATCGGTCTGGCTTGCGACCGGCAGCCCAGCAAACTGGTAGCCACCTAGGAGTGCCTACCCCTGAAGCCTTACAACTTGCAGAGAGGAGCATACCCTAAGAGGTTCCTGATTACCCCCTATTCCCTAATGGGGAAAATTGCCATAAGGTGCTCACCGGTTCCGGTTTCTTGCCCGCACCAACCTGCCACAGCCAAGACTAAGCCTCTGCTTTGGTCTTTGCTCCCCACCAAAACCCCAAGGTTGACCTAATCCCTTGCCGCAAGTCCAGCAAAATTAACCCATTGCTCTTGTTTGATAAGTGCACCCTGTCAGCCCTATACAGGTCCTGGGACTCCACCACCCTCCATGACCTTCTTCAACTGGCGGGTGGCTTTACGCCTAGTGGGGGTCTCCCCATTGTGCCATACGTGGTGGGGCAGAATAACCGACCCCACACCCGCACTACCAGGCCACCTTGCTTTTTCATTGCAAGGTCAGCCTCCGCTTGAAACACCAGGTCCGTGCCCTCCATGGCGAGTCAAAATAGCCAACCAGAGTATCTGCACTCTGGGCCACCTTGCTCTTATCATTGCAAGGTCAGCCTCCGCATGTAACACCAGGGCCTTGCCCTTCATAGCGAGGCAGAATAGCCGATCAGACTATCTGCACTCCAGGTCACCTTGCTCTTATAATCACAAGGTCAGTCTCCAGTCATAGCACCATGTCTATGTTGCTCACGGTGAAGCAGAATAGCCAACCAGACTATCTGCACTCCAGGCCACCTTGCTCTTATCATCGCAAGGTCAGTCTCCACACGTAGCACCATATCTCTGTCATTCATGGCGAAGCAGAATAGCCGACCAGACCATCTGCACTCCAGGCCACCTTGCTCTTATCATTGCAAGGACAGCCTCAGTTTGTCACCAAAAGGCCTTGCCAGCCAGACTGTCCGCACTCTGGGCCCTGCTAGGTTGGCAGGAGCTGGAACTAGAGATGGGAGCTCACTCCATCATGCGGCACCCAGGTCTCGAACTGCTGAACTACTGACCTTCCACAGCCTGCAGTTCAGCGTCTTAATCTCATAAATCCTAGATTAAAAACCATGTCAGCAACAGTGGATGGAAGGAGGAAGGAAGGGACTTGATTTATACCGTCCCTCACTCAGAGTCTCCGAGTAGTCCACAAACTCCTTTCCCCTCCCCCGAGAAGACACTGTGAGGCAGGCCGGGCTGAAAAAGCTCTTTCCAGAACTGTCCTTGAGAGAACAGCTCTGACAGGCCTGGCACCCCTGAAGACAGGAGTAAAATAAGAAGAGGAGATTAGATTTATACCCTGCCCTTCACTCAGAGTCTCAGAGTGGCCCACAAACTCCTGTTCCCTTCCCCTCCCCACAACAAACACCCTGCAAGGTAGGTGAAGCTGAGATAACTCTTTCAAGTACTGCCTTGAGAGAAGGTCAGAACCAAGGCTCGCCCAAGGTCATCCAGCTGCTGCAAGTGGATTAGAGTGGAACCAACCCAGTTCTCCCAGATTAGAGCCCACACACCTAACCACCACCTGACAGCAAGAGATGGGCGGCCAGTGCATCGACATAGGGAGATAAGGTCTCTGTCTTCCTGCCCCCGCCAAAAAGGGCGACTGAGGTTTCTGCTCCTGGTGCCAACCCCCCGCAGAAACTATTCCTGATATAGAAGTTCTAAGCCGTTCTTTGGAAGTTTTCAGAGATGCTGGATAAGGCCCCTTCTGAAAACCATAACATTGAAAGGGCAGCCCCAGTCAAAACAGCCTCCCGATGACCACCCTGGAATGCAGACAGAGGCTTCGAGCCCAGCCCGCCCCCTGTCAGGTATAACCAGCCACCGCAGGCCTGCTTACCGAATAGCGCCACCTACCCTATCAAGTGGCCGGGGGCGTTAGTGCTCCTTTTGGCCATCTAAAATGGTCGCCTCTGCACCAGCCAAAGGCCACCTAAAATGGCCACCCAGAAAACCCCCTCATAAAATAGCCACCCCTAAAGCAATAAGGGGGGTAGATGACAGACCCCACACCCTCTAATCGCCTACTTAGGCGTAATTTGTGGGCAGGAAATTGATGGGGGGGCTTTATCAGCGATTACCATTGAATCGTGCCAACTAAGCCTTTAATCTGGGCGGAAGGGGTGGGAGCCAGGAACGGCATTAAGCAGCCTTACCAACTGCTGCCACTCCCAGATCCTAAAGGCCCAAGTTAACTTCCCCCCCCCTTAGGAATCAGGCAAATGAAGCCCCAGGCCAGAGAGGGCACTGCCGCTGACACTCGGAGACCGCCACCGCAACACAGCCGCCACCCGGAGCCTTCTGAAGATGAAGATTGCACTGCCATCGGGAGACCAGCTGTCCCCATTCCAGAGCCTGAGGCCCTTGCCTTCGCTCCCTGCGTGCTCAGAGCTCCTCACAGCTCGAGCACATTGCAGCAACTGCCAAATGGCAGGAGCAGAGCCCGGCTGTTTACTCAAGCCGGCTCCTCCCCCTGCCTGGGTCCTGACTCCAGGAGTCAGGCTCTGTTGCTGCCTGTCTTCTATCCATTTATAGTTAAAATACATGGTTTGATCAGCGAACTGCACATTTCATGCAATATTCAGTTCGGTATTTAATTGGTTATTTTGATGAGTAAAGATGTTCGTAAATTTCTGATTGTTTCTAGATAAATGGCTCTACTTTAATCTGTTCCGTACTTTGACTACAAAACAGAGTTTTACTTTTTTTAAAAGTAGAGTATCATGGATTACCATTCATGGGTGAAAATAGGGTTACCTCTCAACTTTGCAAGATTGTTTGCAGAGAATGAAAAAGAGAATAGGAGGGCACAGGAGGTAAACCCAAATATGTTAGCTGCCTTGGGGTCCCCACTGGGAAGAAAGACAGAGTATAAACGAAGGAAATATATAAATAAGAGAAGTGCGTGCATCTTCAGGTCTCCATAATGGTGGTGATGGTGGTGGTGTAGTAGCATCAAGAAGCCACCTAAGCAGCCAATAATCAATTGGTACCCACTGCTTCTTTCATCATTGCCTAGTATTCATCCATAAAAAGACAATGTGATAAAAAATTCCTCCTTTGCGGTGATTTTACCACATACTTTGGAGGAGGAATCACATTGCCTTTTCTGATTCTGATTCATTCTACTCGCCTAGTTCATCAACAGGAGTGGTCCACGCCTGCTTGACTAAATTGTTTACTCTCTTGACTAGATCTTGTCTTCATTTGTGCTCTGCAATGAAATATAACACAGCTATGTCCCAGAACACTGGGTCTTCTGGTCTCTCTTTGTAATTCCCACCATGCTGTTTGTTCTCGCTTTCTCTCTCCCTCTCTCTCCCTCTCTCTCTTTAGAAATAGTCACTTATCCAACTGAATGTAACACTTCCAACATTGTGAACTCTGGTTCACAAAAGTTGACACAAAAATAAACTTGTATTTATGGTGCCACAAGTAAATGTAGAGCCAAACTATTGTACTGTTATTTGAAGGACAGATACAGTATTTTGTGTTATGCAACATGCCTTTAGCTATGGTGTGCTTATCTTTCACTGTCAATGACATTCTTATTTCTCTGCAGTTTTAAAAAATGTTATTCCAAAGAATAGTCATTATTATGTATTTGCTTTTCAGATATTTTAGATAATAATTAATTTCCCACAAAGCTTGTCAAAATTGGCCATTTAAAAAAAAATTATGGTACATTTCTGTGAGAAAGTACATTTCATTTCCCCTTGACTGTGTGATAATAGATTTTTTTCTTATTTCCTATTTTGAGTTGTGTAATTGGTATATATGAAATTCATATTTTGTGCCAAGACCTTGTGCAAAGCTGTAATGTCTTAAATTATAATAAAATTGTATTCAGATCCATGTTATTGATCAGATTGTTCATGGCTATGTTTACAAGGACTTGGGTGATTCATCCCCCCCCCCCCGTTTTGGTGACTCAATAAAGACATTTAGCCCTGAGAGATAAAATGAAGTAGAATATTGAAAAGTTTAAGCAAATTCAAGCCACATATCTGAAAATTAAATTGTTAGGGATGGGAAATGTATTTAATTTTATTTGTAACATTTACAAAAATTATGATAATAGTGGTGCTAATGTATTCTATTTTAAAATTGCTTGAATCATTTTGTTAGGTCATAGTGTTCATCTGTAAACTTTGGAAACAGCCATCAAAATGATCACAATAAGAGTTTTAATGATGAAAGAATTTTTAACTTATGGATGCATCTGAATTCCTGTTTTAGTGGTAAACTTGTATTTCCTTAATGCTTTTACATTTTTGAATGAAACAATGTTTATACATTGGTAATTAGTGAAGACTCTCTACTTATTATGCATATAGTACATATTTACATAGAAAACAAATTTAAAATTAATGGATTTTAGCTGAAGGTCATTTTTTTATTGAAGGGCACTTTAGTGGAGAAAATTGGGAAATTTTCACCCATTTCCTCTTCTGCTGAAGACTTCCATGTCTTGCTTATAAGAACCCCTAGAACCTCAAGAGCAGCATTTCAGGGGAAGAAGTGGGCTGCAATGGGAAGGAAGATATAGAAAAGTTATAGTTCTAGACTATTTGTTCTTTTTATATCCTTTAACATATATATTTTAATAATATTGAATAGGTGAACATATATGTATATATACACACGCACACATCCATACACACATTTTATCAGACTTGCCATTTATTACAATTCTAATAAATGTGTGCACTGTGAACAGGATCTGAGATCTCAAAGAAGAAAAAAGGCTTTGGAAATTTCTCATCAGTGGTATCAGTATAAGAGACAGGCTGATGATCTGCTGAAGTGGCTGGATGATATTGAGAAAAAATTAGCAAACCTTCCAGATCCTCAAGATGAACAGAAGCTCAAGGTAATGCCATTTTAAAAGTGATGTTGCATTCAGTTTAAAAAAGGAGTATGAATATATGCATATATGTATTTCTATGTATGTCAGTGTGTTAATCCATAGAATGCTAGTAGTTCAGTTCTTTTTATTCTTACTTCAAAAGAATTAATGCTTGATTGTAAAACTGTTCTTCTAATTCTTGTGAATACTGTATCATACAAAACAAGAAATGAATTTAACAAAAAATGCTTTTTTTCATATGTCAAATGTATTGTCTTTAGAAAAATACTGGCTGTTTTCTAGAAAAGAAAATTAACTGGCTCTGTATCTTTATTCCAGATGATCAAATGACTTATCGGTATATGGATGAACTCTTTTTCATGTTAGCACATTCATATTCATCAGAACATATTCATACATCATTGTCTAAAGTCTAAAGAATGCTTACATGTTCTCAAAAAATTGCCTTGTTTATTTTGCATCGTCTTCTTTTGCTTCATTCTCTGTTGAGTTTTCTATAATAGTATACAAAAGCTATTAAAAAAACACAAACCTCTAGCTGTGAAACTGACACAATGGGTATTTAGTATACGATTCCTATAGATTACAGTGAGCCAAGTATCTTCCACACTACGCAAATAAAAAAAATAGACAGTCTTTGGCCTGCTTTGAACAGCTTTTCAAAATATGTTAGTCACTTAAATATCTAAATTTAACTTGCTGGACAATTCAAGTCTCACCTATGTTTGTTCTGTTTTAATGTAAATTAAAATTTAAAAATAAGTGTAATTTTTTTGTTTGTTTGTACCAACAACATGAGGGGAAAAAATCTAAAAGAAATATAATGTTAATTCTTAGGAGTTGATTGCTCTAGTTAGCTAATTTTCCTGGGCCATGTATTGGTTTTGCTCAATAGGAAATTGATCGAGAATTGGAGAAGAAGAAAGAAGAGCTGAATGCGGTACAGAGGCAAGCTGATCGCTTGTCTAAGGATGGGGCTGCAAAAGCAGTGGAACCAACCCTGATACAGCTCAGCAAGCGCTGGCGAGATATTGAGAGCAAATTTGCTCAGTTTCGAAGACTCAACTATGCACAAATTGTGAGTTGTTCCTGGCAAACATATATGTTTGCAACTACTGCTACTAACAGAACCCTAATAACAATAAGAATTCCCAGTGCTATTCCAATCTGGCTAAAGCAAGGGCTCTGGTCAGCAGATGAAGACTACTTTATTTTGCAGCAGAATATAGATTTTGTGGTACATGATTTGCTGTAGATAACATCCTCTAGTTAAATAACAAATGGTTAAAAATCATATTTTTGGAATTAATGAATAATACATATTGGTTTCTGTTGCTTCATTTCCCCCCATGACATTACCAATTTAAACCTGTCAGCTTACCATACCTTTATTTTGTTCAATAAACATGTGTGACTCAGAAATACGTATTTTCAATTTGCCATCCCATGCAAGATCTAATTATCTTTTATTTATCATAATGTTCAATCTATACACATTTAGGGGGAAAGTGCGACATTTGTCTTCCTGCTACTTACACTTGATCTAGACTTCTGTCTACCTAAAAGTTCAGCCCATCCAAATAATGTCTCAGTTTTTCAATAAAACACTTGTAATCTTCTCTTTAATGATATATTGGGGACCCACTTTTGACCTTTCAGTTAAGTTTCTAGGGTGGCAAAATCTGTTTTACCTGGAATTGTACTTTCAAATAAAGGATGCACCCAGGTTCTTTGGGTCTTTTCTATTAAAATGCAATGGTTATTCAGTTTTTCTTTCCATTTTCACAATTGTATTTTCTATGAAAAACAGATGAAAGCAAAAAGTCTCATGTAGTGAGTAAGGAATGTACTATATATGGCATTCACAGGATCTCTGGCTTGGCATTTTTCTCACTTGTACATTTAGAAATTCCCTACCTCACAGGGATGTTGTGAGGATTTATTATTATGTATATAGCCTTGTGAAAATTTAAGACATGATTTTAAAGTTTTTCCTGAATTGCAGTTTACATAAGAACTGCTATGGCAATCAGCAAGCTGGAAAAAACCTAAGAGATGGATAAAAGTAAACATATATCTTATATAACGAAGTTTGAGTCCAGTGGTACCTTTAACACCAACAAAGTTTAATTCTGGGTATAAGCTTATATGTGCATGCACAGTTCATCAGATACATTGGAACAGTTTTCCTTATGCCTTATATATAGGTAGGGGGCAATTAGTTGCCAGGAAGGCCTAGTTAGAGTCAAGATGCATAAGTAACTGGGTAATAAGTATATCTGAGATTGAATTAAAACAGTTGGTAGGACCTGTGAATGGCAGCAAATTAGCATATAAATCCAAGAGTTAACAAACAGATGTGAGAGCTACGTTTGAGCCTAGTAGCACCTCCAAGACCAACAAAGTTCAATTCAGGATATAAACAAAGAACTGAGAGACTTAGGCTGAGTTCAGACTGGCAGTATGAAGCGCAAAGGAGTCGTGGCAAAAAGACCCAGAACAACTTGTTCCGGGTATTTCCGGTCACACTGCACCGACTGATGCGGGAGCATACCGGGGAGGAGGCTAAAGGGAGCGTTCACACTGTTGGCCTGCCCCTGGCAGAGGTGCGGCTGTAAGTGGCTTTTTTTTCACTCTGGTGACATGTGCCTATGTGCATAGGTGCAGCAGTGCGGCTTGTTTGCAGCTTTTAGCATGCACACTTCCGGGAAGCGGGATCAACACGCTCTCCAGGGTTTGCTAACACTTTCACCTGGTACTTTTTTTAATGTGGTAGGGAATCGTCATAGGACGGGTTGAGTATGGCTGGAGAGCGCCTGACAGCTCTGCCTGTGTGAACCGGCCCCTTTAATCCGTTTGTGAAACATGCCTATATGGGACCTGCCAGTCTGAATTCAGCTGCAGCATGTGTAGATGCCCACTTCTTCAGAGGCATTGAAACATGTATCTTCTATGATACTCCTTCACAAATTACCTGAAAATGTAAAAGCACAGGATTTCAAGTAGAGCACTTCATCCTTTTGAAAAAAAGCCAGCCATAGTAAAACAGCCAGCAATCATTGGCTGTGTTGCACTGGTGCTCGAAAGACCATCCCTGGCTGCGGTAATAATCAACTTTCAATCCACTTTCAGTGTACTTTCCAACTGGATTTTTACTGTGTGAACCGGCAAAATCCAATTTGAAAGTGGATTATTTCGTGTGTGTGACCGTAGCCCCTGTGATGCAAAACTGCCACACAAGCAGTTTTGGTGGAGAGGCAATAGGAGAGATTACAGAAAGTACCACAAAGGATTCCTTGCTTCTGCTAGTGTATTCTCTCAAATGGCAAGCGGGTGGTAAGGGGGAAAGTGAGTTGTTGGGGTTTTTTAGTACAAGCAAGAGACAGAGAGCAAAAGACTGTGCACCCCATGGCTTTGTGCCATATGTCCAGTAGAGGGTACCACTTGGTGAAACACTTTCCTAACACAGCAATTAAAGCTGCAGCATACATTTCTGTCAGTTTTGAAATTTAACTAATAATCACTTTTGGAGTACTTGGTTTGTTTAGGGTACCCTGTTCAGTTTTCTGTTACTAAGTAAAATATTCTGCATGATATTTAGAATTGGCGCTAAATGCTTGCCTGTTTCCCACATATCAGCACTGAAAATACTGCTATACAGCTAGACAGAGTCCCACAAACTCAAGCATTATCTACCAATGCCCAGAGAAGTACGTTTCTACTGTCTGAAAATTTGTGTCCAGTGTAGTCAGTAATGTTTGGAAGAGAAATCTATAGCAATATACTACTTGTATTTAGGGGGGGGGGGGAATAAATGAAATCATGTTGTTCAGAACTCTAACTAAGAGGGGGTTTAATTTGAAAGACAATCAGTAGTTGTAATCTAAAAACATCACCCCTGTCTTGCAAGCCACAAAAGTGCTGTGCAGCAGGAGGTCTTTGTGCGCACAAATTATGCAAAATCTTTTACCTGTGCTGGGTCAGACTGACTATTCTGTCTAAGCAGTTCCATAAACTTATCATTCAAATATCTTAAGGGATTTTTCAAGAGGGGCAAGATAATGATAGATACCCACCCTCTCCAATTTGTCAGAGATTCACTCTCTCATTATGTAAAATATGCAAAATCTCTGGATTAAAGCCATGCTCCCCCCCCATTAATGTATATTTGTAAAATTTGAATATAAGGGAAGAAATGAATGTTAAGCTAATTTACCTTATTTAGTACATATAAACCCCATCATTAGTTGCGTTTTTTATTGTCAAGTCATCCATCAAGTTTTATGCTGTTCTAAAGACAAGAACATATTTTATATTCTAGTTTAAAACACATTTGAAACAAATATTTTTGAAAGCATGTGGAGTAGTTACCACTGATAACATCATTTGGGATTGCCCTACACATATTTACCCAAGACTTGTGACATATCTTCCAAGTATTTAGTGTCATATAATTGGATCATTTTGTTGGTTCATCAAGGCCCTTAACAACCCGATATCCTGAACAATTGCTTCTTTAGCAAACAAGTGATTTTGATGTAAGATACCAACCATAGCATTATTGATATATTCTAACCATTATGTTAGTGTGAACAATGTGGACCTGTTACTCTAGGGCTGCAGGCAGATTTATTAGCAGAGGTGTTCAGGATTTGGGTACCAGGAATGTTGCCTTCATTAGGAAAGTAGAAAACACACAATAAATGTTTACTAAATGATAAATGGCCTTCACTGAATATTTTCTTAAACTGGTCTAACTCAGAATCCTTATTCAGATGGGTAGCCGTGTTGATCTGAAGCAACCGAACAAAGTTTGAGACCAACGAAGTCTTAAAGGTGCCACTGGACTCAAACATTACTCAGAATCCTACTCAGGTATATTCAGAGATTTACTTCCAGGAACAATTTTAGAGTCCAATGGCACCTTTAAGACCAACAAAGGTTTATTCAAGGTCTGAGCTTTTGTGTGCGTGCACACTGTATCAAATAAATTAGAATGGCAGTCAACATTCAAACTTCTGGGCAGAGAATGATCAGCAAATTAACTTGTAACATGATGATGTTCAAGATATGCAAAGTGACACTAAAAACATGTTACAATTATAAGGTTACTTCCAGGAAAGCATTCTTAGGATTGACCCATATGTCTTCC